GGAGATATCAAAGGATATATCTCTCATCTAGTAGAGATATCAACTAATAAGGCGATTTGGATTATATTAAAGGTACTGTCAAGGTGTGAAATGGTGCTAAATTTTAAGTTATGATCATGTAAAATGCTACTGATCCAAATGTCCAAAAGTTAAAAACTCTAAGGATCTTGTGTTAGCAAACATGATGGTTATTTTAATGAAAAAGGCCCAGAGGTCTACAAGGGATGCTTTATAAAATCCTACAGGTGCTTTCAAAAATATTGTGTGGAGTAAGCAAGTGCCTCTTCTTGTTAGTTAATGAGTTAATAACTTTAAACATGGCTATTTAAAGTCTTTTGTCATGCACAGTTTTATATATCAGATTTACTGCTCATGAAGTTAAAATATTATTGGTTCTGTGTTTAAATGTGTCCTCTTTCAGGTTCCAAAGGACCTCTTTTTCCCTAATCCCTATTGTATTTTTCAGTATTTTGGGACAGTTTTGTAAGCAGATAAAGCCAATGATGTACTACAGGTTTCAACTTAGATTAATTCGAATTACTAACAGTAGGAAGTAATTCTAATTGATACTTTTTTAAGAAAAGGTATCTTTTATTAACTTAGCAGTTTAAATTTATGAGCAATATTTTATCTATCAGCCAATTAAAATGGAGCTCTTAATAAATATTCCCATGCAGACATAAATATGTGCACATGTGTAACATAACATACAAGATAGAACAATAAAGCAGTTTTAGTAATAGTATCTTTTTTTTTTTTGCTTTCAAGCTTTTATTTAATGAATATAAATTTCCAAAGCACAGCTTATGGATTACAATGGCTTCCCCCCCACAACTTCCCTCCCACCCGCAACCCTCTCCTTTCCCACTCCCTCTCCCCTTCCATTCACATCAAGATTCATTTTCGTTTCTCTTTATATACAGAAGATCAGTTTAGCATACATTAAGTAAAGATTTCAACAGTTTGCACCCACATAGAAACACAGAGTGAAAAATACTGTTTGAGTACTAGTTATAGCATTAAATCTCAATGTACAGCACATTAAGGACAGAGATCCTACATGAGGAGTAAGTGCACAGTGACTCCTGTTGTTGACTTAACAAATTGAAACTCTTGTTTATGGCCTCAGTAATCACCCTAGGCTCTTGTCATGAGCTGCCAAGGCTATGGAAGCCTTTTGAGTTCACTGACTCTGATCATATTTAGACAAGACCATGGTCAAAGTGGAAGTTCTCTCCTCCCTTCAGAGAAAGGTACCTCCTTCTTTGATGACCTGTTCTTTCCACTGGAATCTCACTCACAGAGATCTTTCATTTAGTTTTTTTTTTTTTCTCCAGAGTGTCTTGGCTTTCCATGCCTGAAATACTCTCATGGGCTTTTCAGTTGGATCCGCATGCCTTAAGGGCTGATTCTGAGGCCAGAGTGTTGTTTAGGACATCTGCCATTCTATGGGTCTGCTGTGTATCTCACTTCCCATGTTGGATTGTTCTCTCCCTTTTTGATTCTATCAGCTAGTATTTGCAGACACTATTCTTGTTTATGTGATCCCTTTGGTTCTTAGTCCTATCATTACGATCAATTGTGAACAGAAATTGATCACTGGGACTAGTGAGATGGCATTGGTACATGCCACCTTGATGGGATTGAATTGGAATCCCCTGGTATGTTTCTAACTCTACCATTTGAGGTAAGTCAGCTTGAGCATGTCCCGAATTGCACATCTCTTCCCTCTCTTATTCGCACTCTTATATTTAACAGCAATCACATTTCAGTTAAGTTTCAGCACTTAAGAAGAATTGTGTATTCATTACAGTATTCAACCAAAAGTATTAAGTAGAACAAACAAAAAAATACTAAGAGGGATAACATATCAAGTTGCTCATCAACAGTCAGGGTGAGGGCTGATCAAGTCACCATTTCTCATAGTGTTCATTTCACTTTAACAGGTTTCCTTTTTGGTGCTCAGTTAGTTGTCACCTATCAAGGAGAACAAGTGGTATTTGTCCCGTTGGGATTGGCTTATTTCACTCAGCATAATGTTTTCCAAATTCCTAACAGGGATCACTTTTCAGTTAAAATTTAAACACCTAAGAATAATTGTGTGTTAATTACAGAGTTCAACCAATGGTACTAGAACAAAAAAAATACTAAAATGGATAAAGTATTACATTGTACATCAACCATCAGGACAAGAGCTGATCAAGTCACTCTTTCTCATAGTGTCCATTTCATTTCAACAAGTTTCCCCCTTGGTGCTCAGTTAGTAGTCGCCGATCAGGGAGAACATATGATATTTGTCCCTTTGGGACTGGCTCAATTCACTCAGCATGATGTTTTCCAGATTCCTCCATCCTGTTGCAAATGACTGGGTTTCGTTGTTTTTGACTGCTGTATAGTATTCTATAGAGTACATGTCCCATAATTTCTTTATCCAGTCTACTGTTGATGGGCATTTGGGTTGGTTCCAGGTCTTAGCTATTGTGAATTGAGCTGCAATAAACATTAATGTGCAGACAGCTTGTTTGTTTTCCAATTTCATTTCCTTTGGGTAAATTCCAAGGAGTGGGATCGCTGGGTTGAATGGTAGGGTTATATTCAGGTTTCTGAGGAATCTCCAGACTGACTTCCATAGTGGCTTACCAATTTGCATTCCCACCAACAGTGGGTTAGTGTCCCTTTTTCCCCACATCCTCTCCAGCATCTATTGTTGGTAGATAGATAAAATATTGCTCATAAATTTAAACTGCTAAGTTAATCAAAGATACCTTTTTGGCTTGTGTGAACTAAATCCCTGTACCAGGTGCTTTAAATTTATTGACATGATTGTACTTGGGTTTGCTGATCAAACAAGTTCCACTTGTATTATTAATTTAAATGATATTTTCAAATAAATGTACTCTTAAAATTTATAGAAGGCATTGGACCTTTTCACAAATGTTTTCATAGTTGCTATTTCACCACAGTTAAAATTGTTTGCTAAGTTTTTATTTGATATTTTTATTGTCAGTAAGCAATCTTGGAAGTCTGATTTGTTCCCTCATTTCTCTATTCTCTTCAGGAAAGGAAACTGAATCTATTCTGAAGGACTCTCCAGGATGTACAATTTAATCTTTAGACTTTATAAAGTGGATGGCAAACATTCTCTATAATAATACCATAGCCAAAATGAGAGCTTAAATTATGATTTCACAGCTAGAATTACTTTGCCATGGGCACAATAAACAGGCAAAACCTCCACTTCAGACCAAATGAAGAGAGAGAAGGTTTTAAAGTGAGGACACAGCTATACTCATGGGCATTGTTTACCTCACAGAAGCCACTATCAGACCATGTCTATGACTATAGATTGCTAGTTTAGGCCACTAAAGATCAGAGATGGAACTGAGCACCCCCTTGATGTGCATCCTCTTAAATGTTTCCTCTGGTCTGTTTTAACAAAAAACGAGGAGGAAGGGGAAGCTTGGCAGTAGGAGCGATGCTGTCTCTCTCTCTCTGTCCACTCTGCCTGTCAAAAAATAAAAAAAAAAAATTAAATTAAAAAAAAGATAGGTGGCGGGCCAATTGATGGCTGCTTTACACAGTGATCTGCCATCAAGGAGACCCAACAGGCCAGTGCACTGCATTGTTTTTCGATGTCGAAAGCCAGGGTTTCGGTAGAAGTCAGCTTATGAAGAGCCCTGGCTTCTCTGCCAGCCAAGAATCGGGTCACTAGAAATAGAACTGCCCTGTAGTCAATGCGCTTCAGGTCAGATCCACAGGCCTTGTTAGCTCTAAGCAGAAAAGCCTTTCATTTGCCTGGCTTCCAAAGTAACCACTGCTGTTGAGGGGATGGCCAAGTAAGGTCAACAACATTGCAGACAGAACTGTAAACTAACAAAAAATATTTTCCTTTTAGAGATGCCACCTACCTTCTCTTCAAGCCGGCTTTTCTCCCAGGCCGGCTAAATAA